GTTTGTAATGTTAACTTGATATAATAAATATTTGCTAAGCAAGAACAGTCAAAATAGTTTTGAAGTAAAACTTGCATTAAAAAAAAATTATAGAGCACATGACTATTACTCAACTAAAGCCCCTAATTGTTGAAAGAGGATATCTTAGTAAAATATACATATTTTCTGAAAAAAGAAATGCAAAGATACGTGTATATAGTATATTTTAGAACAACCGTGTTTACAGATATCTTACCATTCGTTTAAATAGCTGGCTACAGCAACACCGAAAATAGAACATTGACAAATAACCAAGTCTTACTTTCTGTGTTCTCTCATTGTCTATTCAAGATGCAATATCAATTTAATTATTTGCAATATATGTGTCTATCGTTCTCCCTTCTGCTTTTAAATGGTGACCGTATATGTATGTGCATTCTGTTTGAAACGAACAAGAGAAAGAAATTTTTTTTTACAGAACTCAACTACAATGTATATCAGTTCCCTTTGATCTTTGTGTATATGGATATCAATTTCTTGCTCAATGGTCAAAACTAATATTGTTGCCATGCCCTGATTTTAAACGAAAACGAACGGACGACATGTAAAGATAATCTATTTGTAAACTTAATGGCATTATATTAATTATGGATTGGCAAAAAAAGTTTACTCCCACATTTAACATGATCAATGAAGTTAAAAAATTAAGTTTCTTCAAATTCTCCTCTGGGTGACTTTTTATGTAGTCATTTTAGTTAAAGTCATGTTTTTACGTTAAGAACTTGAACGAAACATACAAAATCATCTGCATCAATTGAGGGCATCACAATTAAATACAAACAAATTAAAGCAAAAATAAACTCCAGATGTACTTACAGTAAGATTGCAAATCTTTACTTCTTTATTAATTTGTTAGTTCTCATAAGACCTCTGGTCAACAGGTCAAGAGTCTCCTGTTGTAAGCATTGTATCTTCTACACAAATAGGAAAGATTAGGAAAATTATTTTTTTTAAAAGTAAAAAATATTTATTTCAATAATAGAATAATCTAAAACCGTTAGAAAAACCAGATACCTGTCGGTAAAGAATAACTAAAAATTATGTGTCAAACTTATTAAAAATTGGCTTGTACTGTCCACCTTGATACCCAGGAGAAGGTCTTGTCACAAGAAATAAAACATATACTATTATAATAGGTAATCAGAGATTACAGAGCTCACCTCAACGAAGGCAAAGTCACACAATTAACCATTATTCTAAAAGTGTACATCCAAAAATGCAAAATTTATGCAATTTTGATCTACTAGGGCTTGCAGTTACTTTGGGATAGACATATCCAAAAACCTCAAACTAGTCGCTGCTCAAGCATGTTTGGGAGTTTTCATCCCTTGACGCATCATTTGTGCAAGTTTGGTTAATATAGGCCTTATAGTTTCTTGATGATAGATCTACATCCATAACTTTTACCCGGTCCATTATCTGGAAAATATATGTCAAATTCAGCATATGAGTCATTGGTGCAAGTTTGCTCAACATTAGGCTCATAGTTACTTGGAAATGAAACCTGCATGAAAACTAACCTTTTCATTCATCCAGAAAATGTAGATCAGATTCAGCACCCGAAGCAAGCCCATTAGTCCGCATCCTTAGATGTATTATCCATGCAAGTTTGGTCATTATAGAGTTCATAATTACTTGGAAATGAAACCTGCACCAAAAACATTAACCTGTTCACTCCTCCGGAAAATGTAAATGTCAGATTTAGTATCCGAAGCAAGCCTGGTAGAGTTCATCTTTTGATGTATCGTCCATGCAAGGTTGGTCAACGTAGAGCTTAACGTTACTTGGAAATGTGGCCTACACCAAAAATGTTAACCTGGTCATTCCTTTGCTGAAATTGCAGCATCTGAAACCTTGACTTTTACAATGAAGCACACTAGAAGCACCCTGCATGCATGTCTAATCAATAAAGGGCAAAGAAGTACTTTAAAAGAAAACTGCTCCAAAAAACTTAACACTAACGGTATCACATAGGCTCATCCAACTTCGTTGAGGTGAGCTAAAAAGGTCTTGTCACAAGAAATAAAAAAGGTCTTGTCAAAAGAAATAAAAATCAGTAGCAACAATCGTTCAAAAGTTAAAGCGAAGGTAGACGTTTTTTAAAAGCAAGCCGAACCTTAATGTCAATGTTAAAAGGTCAAAATTGTTGGATTCTAAATATTAAGGTCTTGTCACATGGAACACACATACATGTATGAATACAAAAGCCTTAGTCTATCTGTTCAAGAGTTACATTCGAAGTTTTTTTTTAATATGTTGAACTCTAAGTTCAAGATCAAAAGGTCAAAATATATTTTTTGCACGAAAAGGTCTGTCCACAATGATAATACACATGAGGGATGAAAGACCTCGCGCCAACTATTCAAAAGTTATGGCCAAGGTCATAGTTTAATTAATTTTTGCAAAAGTGGGTTTAACTCCAAGGTCAAGAGGTCAAATATGTTGGTACCAAAGGAAGGGTTATGCCACAAAAATATACTTGTACGAAAGCCATGGGTTCAACCTATCAAAAGTTGCGGTTAAGTTTTTTAAAAGTTTTTGCGCACAAACAGACGGGCGGACAGGTTAAAAACAAATATACATATATCCAGATTTTTTATTATGGGACATAATAATCATAATGTGTTAGTATGTCACAGTAATGCTATTTTCGGATTTTTCCACACCTTAAAATTTTTCGAAACAATAATATAGTATATATACTATACGAATGACTATAATTTTGTGTAAACATATTTATTGCACACTGTTTTGTCAACAAGAAAAACTCACATATATCTTTGGAGTTTGAGTTACTGTAGTTATTCAGTTAGAGTTCATATCAATTTCGCATACTTCACCCTCTTAAAGTTACAGTAAGTAAATTCTTTTAAGATAGAGTTAACAGGTGGTAGTCCTAGCATCAAATAATTCATTCACTATAGGCAAAATATTTTTGATAGATTCTTAATACCTTTGTTTTTGAATGATTTTATGAACTTTATGGGTTGTGTTTAGACGGAAAATTGTTTGATTTCTTCGGCCTTAGTATTCATACTTTAGATTTGTTCTGTTTTCCTGATCAATACATAGGGCTCACGCCTGGTGTGACCAGTCAGCAGGGGATATTTAATTGTCTCCTGCTTTCGCGAGGGGACATTAAGTCTCATTCGTCTGTCTAGCTGTCCGTCAGTCCGTCCGTTACCAAAACTTGAATCTTGCCCATAACTTTTGATTTAGTGGAGCTATGACTTTCATATTTGACATGTGTATTCCTTGTGACGAGACCTTTCTTTGGGTACCACCACATATGACATTTTGACCTTGACTTTGGATTTGACCCATTTTTACACAGTATTTTTTTTTTCACTTTTAATTTGGCCATAACTTTTGAACGGTGGATACTAGGACTTTCATATTTCACATATATATTGTTTGTGGGAAGACCTTTCATTGGATACCAACAACTTTGACCTTTTGACCTTGGAGATTTCCGTATTTATGTAAACTTTTAAATTGTCCATAACTTTTGAACGGTAAGGGCCAGGGATTTCAAACTTCACATGTTATTTTTGTGAAAAGACCTTTTATTTGATACCAAGAAATGTGACCTTGACCTTGGAGTTTGACCTACTTTTTAAAATCTTTAACCTTGGTCATAACTTTTGAACGTTAAGGGCTAGAGCTTTCATAGCTGCAGATCTGTAGCGTTATGGTTTTATACATTTGTCTTTGATTATAACGCTACAGATCCCGTAGTGCAAAAAAGGTGCAATTTACAGCGCAATGTTTTTTGCGCTCTTTTGGGGAGAATTTCTCCACTTTCCAGCATCGTTCAATCAACTACCTTTCAACCCCTAATTTTAGACTCATTATTTAACTAATCTGTATATTTTATCCATTTCCCAACCCTTTATAGTCGTCTCTACAAGTGATAAACTCGCTTGATTAAAATTATTTGTTAGATTACTGAAAATTCACTTCCAGCGAGTTTATTGCCTGGAGAGACAACTATAAATGGTTGGGAGGTGGATAAACTATACATATTGGCTACAGAATGTGTCTAGAATTAGGGAGTGAAAGGTAGTTGATTGACCAATGCTAGAAAGTGGAGAATTTCTCCCCAAAATTGCGCAAAAAATATTGCGCCGTAAATTGCACCTTTTTTGCACTACGGGATCTGTAGCGTTATGGTCAAAGACAAATATATAAAACCATAACGCTACAGATCTGCAGCTAGAGCTTTCATACTTAACATCAACTTTCACCTTTGACCTTGGAGTTTGACCTAAATGTACCTTTCAAATACTTATCCTTGGACATAACTTTGACCTCGACCTTCACGATTGATCTTATTTTTTTTTAAATCCAACTTCGGTGATAATTTCTGAATGACATATGATATGACGTTCATATTTGACACAATATGTCATAAAAAAAAGACATCTCACCCATAAAGACACCGAAAGAGGGGGACAAAATTTTCTTTGATTTTGCTTGTTATTTATAACTCTTAGGCACCTCGATCGATCGGTGGTTGCTTTCGTCACGTTTTACACTCTAAGAAGTTATCATGGGTTTAGCTATGAGTTATGAGTTTTGAAATAAGATGGAAATATCTAGGTTACAGTGATTATATTTACACGTTCAGCAAAGAAAAAAAGAATTTTAACCCACGTTGAATGTAACCTTACGTTCCTCTCAATGTAAAATGCATTACTTTTAAGTTCTGGATTAAGAAAATCTAGATCTATCTCCATGTTTCAGATAAACGGTCAATCGTTTTGGATAGATTTTAGATAGTGTCTTAATACCAGTACATGGAATGGCCTTATCCTCCACAAAATCACCATGCTGGTTTTTTTTTCTTCTTGGTGCATAAACCTGGAAAGACATAACCTTTTCTCACAAGTTGTCAAAAGTACCTGGAACTTTTGATTCCAAGGTTTAATTGTGACAAAACCATAAAAACTAGACAAGATAAGAAACACATAACACTGCACATTTAGTTGAACAGAACTGCAAGACAGACCATGTATGTATTAGTCTTCATAGGACTGTTCTCTTTAGTCACAGGTGTCGCCGGACAGAAGAGGCAGGTAAAAAAAATCCATTTCTTATAAAGAAAATAAGAATACATTTTACTTTGATAAATTTTTAACTTATTCAAAAAGGATTTCAAACGTATTGAAATTTTGCACATTTAAAGTTATTATAATACTATTTTTATTATATATGCATTCTCGATAAAATATTTGCTAGACATAATTTTTAATCTTGCTATTTTGAAAAGAATACCCAATTTGCTGATGATTCTAGAGTAGTTTTTAAAGGGGCCTGGACACAGTTTCATCTGATTTTTTTTAAAAACCAATTGTAATGTTTACAATTCCTACATAAGACATCATCTATTGATTAGCAAACATTTGAACATCATTTGTTGATTGACAGACGAGATACAGAACTTAAAGTTCTTCATAAAGTAAACAAGGCTCGTGCCTTGTTTTTGATTACATATAGAAAATATTGTATTTATAACAAAATGAAGTTCAGCAAATCAATAGTAACTGTTGAAACGTATTTAAAATTAATTTTATTTGAAATTATCTACCTTGAACGAACGTATATTTGTTTATTTACCTGTGTAAACAAAAACATGACACTAGCCTTGTTTACACATGGCAATTAGGTTTGGAGCTCTAAATCTGACTTGTATCTGGACATCTGGCGATCAAATTTTTGAGGATCATTAGAAAGACCCTAGTTATATATTTGAAAAAATGGAAAAATAAATTTTGAAATTTTAGCTTAAACTGTGTCCATGCCCCTGTAATGTTAAATACGCCTGAGCCTAAAAAAACACTAATTTTACTTTTAAAAAATTTCAGGATGAGCATTATTTTATGGAGAACAATTGCTCGATGTCAGACCGAAGCGCTAGCTGCCCATACGGATTTTGTTGCGCGTATGACGAGTTTTTCCGCATCCTCTACTACTGCAAAAAGCTTGGCACCGTAGGCAAATCGTGTTCCACTGTGTCCAGCGATTCTGATTGTCCCTGTGAAGAGGGCCTCACCTGTGTCCCCACCGTCCACGGGAGTACTTTTGTTACTATTTATGGACACTGCCAGAAGCCTGATTCCTCCGCTAGTCCTGGAACGACGAATAATGGCCATCACGTACCAATAGTTGGATGATATTTCTGAAATATACTTGAGATAAAATCTGTGTAGCAAACACAAAATAAATCATCACCATACTTCTGGGAATTAAAATTTAAAGAAATGTTAATCTATTTACAAAATCACAGTCATTTAAAAATCGGCACTCATGGTATTTATTCTATAAATGAGTATATAATGTCATGATAGAAAAGGTCACAGACTAAAAGTTCTATCGCCAGACATTGATAACTTCGTGCGAAAGAAGTAATGATGTAATAATTTGCAGTTCTTACACGTCTGTTATCAAAAATGGTCAAGTACTTTCAACCTTAATTGTGTCAAGTCTTTGAAATGTATGCGTAGGGATCCAGTACAAGATTGTCTTTCGAGCACTTCAGTGCATAGGGATGGAAAATACTTAAATGATTCATGAGTGAACTTATGTAACCTAACTTGTATTTTCAGGTCCAGTATGTATTGTGTTTTGATCGTTTACATACATGTAGATGTATATTTGGCATTGTTAAAATTCTAGACACTTAAATATGTATATGCTTCAATTTTGGTGTTGATAGTTCCTTAATTCGCCAAAATGGAACTTAAGGAGGCTAGGGGGTCAACAAAGTATTTTTTTTATTAACCACCATATATACCTTAATTTTTTTTTTTAGATATGACATCTTAAGCTATCAACTATCATTTGGCAAAGAAAAATTTCATAAATCTTAGTTTTAAATTTTGATAATTTTTATTTTATCTTTATATGGAGCTCTTCTTCTAAAGGAGATCAAAATAGTATAAAAATAGCCACAACCACACAACTCCTCTAAGTTTGAAGTTGGCGTTTTGTGCATTTTAAAGGCTTTATTGCAATATCTTAGCAAACAAATATTCCATTATTAATATTGATTCATTGGGGCAAATGTGCTTTAAGTCTCAGTTAAGACTTCCTCAAGGTAGCACAGAATTATATTCGTGTTATATACTAGCAGGTTTAGTACCCAAAATTTCCTTGTAATAATTAAAAGTATGTTCATTTTAGCTGGAAATTGGAAACCTGGGATGTTTTGCGATTTGACCAGTTTGAATTGTTTTGATACACCAATGAACATAAATGGAACATTTATTGACTGAGTTCTCGGGCAACATGCGTTTTGTCGGACCCCAAATCCAAATTGTCTGCCAGAGGCTCTTAGGCCGAAAGCTTACACTTTGGTTCAAGGGTCCCACAAAACGCATTTTTCCCGAGAACTCAGTTAATAAATGTTTTGTATCACCTTTCATTTTATTCTAATTCTTGACATACGTGTATATTTTGTACTGTCTTCCGTAATGTAACATCAGGTCCGTCAGTGTTGAACACCAACAAATGAAAATGAGATTATAAGCTTCGCCCATTCTGTAACATAAGCGGTCCAACATCTCACTCAGCGGTCAAACATTGATTTTTTTTATGCCTCTCATAAAAACATCAGAAATGCTAGCTTTTTTTGTATAGACTTGTAGAGGAACAAATTTGTAAATGTATCACAAAAGCTATTGTCAATTTATTTGCGTAGGCGTCGGAACCGGGGGGAGGGGGGCTTAGCTACCCTTTTTTCTGCAAATATATAAATTATATAGCATTGGAAATTGGAGTTTATCTTTTTTTATTGCTTTAATCCCCACCCACTTTCAATTAGCCCCCCCCCCCTTTTGATTTGCTTCCGGTCCGACACCTATGATTTGAATGCACTAATCTGACTTTTCCATATGAAACTTGATGAACCCTCGTGTCCTTGCTTTAGAGCCAATGAAATGTGAATCCTGGTACTGTTTTGAAAACAATAATGAAGGTGTTCCACAGGGCTTGGCATTATACATGTATATATAAGTGAGCATTATTACGGAGTGTTCATAATGGCCAAACAGAAGGATAGCCGAACACGTATATATGAGAAGAAACAAACAGCGAATCGAATGAGAAGGTGGTAAAGTCTCCTTAATTTGTGATATCAGAGTTCTATTTTTGTGTCAGCATTCCGGGTACAAACCAACATCTCTGTGTATATACGTTGAAAGAGAAACATTAACTATACATTCCCGAATCCAAGATTGTAACATCGTGTAATAACCTCTCGGACTGTATACCCTTATCCCGACTTTTTGTCTATAGTAACAGGAATATGACCTCAAGACTTTGGGGATCGTGTCAGACATAAAAATTAAGCCGAGATAAGAAAAGCAATCGTTGCACAATTATTTTTAAAGGACTGTAAAGAAGAGTATGTACTTTTTGGCCATCATTGGACTATTCTCACTAGTGGCTGGTGCCCCTAGGGAAAAAAGACAGGTAACTGGATTAATTAATTTTTTCTTGTTAATCCAATGTTGATGTAATTATTCTTTGGATTTTTAAAATATTTTTAAAATAAATTTTCATCCCATCAGGTCACCAATAAGATTTGATAATGACTGACGATATGTTCATTAGTACATCCACCAAAGTTGTGGTACACTGTAATACTAATGGTACTTTGATAAGTCTTGTAAAGTGACCTAATGCGACCTTAAATGTCCTACTTAATGGAAATTTGGTATTGGAAACCGATGAATGTCCAAGATTACTTTCTGCCCTATTTAAGAGGGTTGGATGCATGGTCACTGGTCATGGCTACTTTTTGACTACTTGTATTTAGCCATTCTTGTAAATTAAGGCGAATTTGGAATAACAATTAAAGTAAGGGCTTTAAATATGTTATATTTTTTATCATGCGTTTTTCATCACGTAAATTTAGTTTATGACTAAAACGGTTTATTTTCAAAATATTTTCAAGAGGATTTATTGGGTACACTGTAATTTGTTAAATATTGACCATTAGTCTTTTTTGACATTGTAGTCGGTATATGTAAATTAATATAACGTAACTCATAAGAATTTAAATAAGAAAATAAAGTATAAATATATTATTCAATACTTAAATGTTGTTAATAGAACCCAACATTATCATTTAATATTTTAACATGTTTTAGGACAATTTTTAATAAAAATTTGTTATAGCTCATGTGTGAAAATAGATTTGATCTTGGGCTTTGGAAAGAAGTTAGAAATGTATATAATTAGGTATTTATAGATCTAACGTTATACAATTAATTCCTTTGCATGGTTTGATAATAGACCTACACATGTAAATGCACCAAAGTAAGTTTTTGAATGTATGGGGTCATTTGATTTTCGAAAGGGATATACGAAAATCATACAATCGTGAAAAATAATTAATAATATAAACATATATATAAGAAAAATAATAACACTTTTTTATGCAATTAATTAGTTAAACCTCCTGGCCCAACGGGTGTACTAAAATCAGATTATATATCTTCAAACATAATATTCAACATAAGAATCAAATTTATCGTACTGTATGGGAGAAGCTCTTAAAAAATATGGGTCTCGGAAATTAAAAAAAAAAATATCTTTAGCAATTTGACCTAACTCGTTTTTTTTATTTTATGTATTTATTTTTTGATTATGAAATTAAAATGAGTTTGTTCGAGTGATTTCTTTTATTTTAGAATTAAACTCTACATTAGCAAAACCTCAATTGGAACGGTATTTTTTTTCGTTCAGCATATTACAAAGTATAATTTTTTTTCTAACAATATAAAGACGCAATTTTAAAGTTAATTTTCATTGTTTTCGAGGTATGGAAAGACCCACGAATTCATGACTACCACGAAATGTAAAATTTAAAATGCAATATTAGCCTACTTTGTTCCAAACTCGAAATCAAATCCCCATATAATCCTATCAATATTTTTTTCTCAAACCTCGAAAATCTCCACCCACTAAATTAAAATACGTGATTTTACATTATATGTTTAATTTCAGGATGAGACTTATTTCATGGAGAATAAATGTTCGATGGCCGCCCGAAACTCAAGTTGCCCCACCGGATATTGCTGCGCGTATGACGAGTTCTTCCGCATCATCTACTATTGCAAAAAACTTGGCGTCGCAGGCGAGTCGTGTTCGACTGTGTCCAGCGATGCTGACTGTCCATGCGAACCCGGACTGGCGTGTGTTCCGACAGTTCAAGGGTCAAGTTTTGTTACCATATATGGAAGGTGTCAAGTGAAGTCCCAACCCACCACTGTTGCTGTGACAACAGATGGCGCTGTAACGGCAGGTGGCGCTGTAACGACGAATAGTCCTACAGACAATCCGACAGACAACAAGGGACATAACACGCATCACGTGACGCACAAGCCACACCATGGATAATCTTTTACAATTGTCATTTTTTGAAGTAAAATATATATAATAATATAGCAGGAACCGAATTTTGTCTTGATAAATATAATCAGATAATCTGCCCAAACCTAAAGGGAGCGGGCAAGATTATTAATTGTTAGGGGGAAAAAAATGCAAACCCCCATGGAGACACGGACCCTTAAGTAATCAAGAAGAGCTTCAATTATCTGAAGAAAATAGGCTTTTAAAGTCTGTTCGTGATACCTCCCTCGAAATAGATTTTTTTTTAAATAACTTGACAGGATTAATTTTTTCTTGTTTGTGAAGACAACAAGAGGCCCATGGGCCTTATAGGTCACCTGAGTATTATGTAGCAACTTTCGAACAATTGAATTTGGTTCGGCACCCTACCCAAAGGAACCACTAACCATGGGGCCACTTATTTCAAAATTTAGGAAATTTTATCATAAATTTCATTTTATCATAAATGGTTGATTAATACCAAAGAGCAGATTTCAAAGCACTAATTTATTTTCAGAATATGTCCCACCCCACCCCCCCCCCCCCCCCGATACCCCTGAAATAAACCATTTTGCTACATGCATCTTTTTTCATCATAAATATATATACTTAGATCATTGACATAATACCCTGGAGCAAAGGAAAAGCTTATCAAAGATTTTATGTATTTTCTCTCTATAATCAAAAGAGCACCCCCCCCCCCCTTACACCAAAAGGGAAAACCCCTGACACAGAGGTCATGAAACTCACTAATTTGGTTGAGGCACTCTTGCTCATAATAAGTATATATTAAGTTAGTTCATTTAATACCCAGGGGCAGAGAAGAAGATTTTCAAAGAATTAATGCCTTTTCACTACGTAATCAATAGAGCCCAACCCTAACACCAAAACCCCCGACCCCGAGGCCATATCCCGGTAACATTCACAATTTTAAAAGAGGCATTCTTGCTCATCATAACTGTATACTTAAAGTTAGTTTATTTAATACCCAGAAGCAGAGAAGAAAATTTTCAAAGAATTAATACATTTTCACTATATAATCAATAGAGCCCCGCCCTAACACAATAACCCCTGACCCAGGGCCATAAAATTCACAATTTTGGTAGAGACACTCTTGCTCATCATAAGTATGCACTTCGTTAGTTTATTTAATACCTAGGAGCAGAGAAGATTTTCAAAGAATTCATGTATTTTCACTATATAATTAATAGAGCCGGCCACGCCCTAACACCAAAATCCCCGACCCTTAGGCCATAACATTCACAATTTTGAAAGAAACATTCTTGCTCATCATTACTTTATACTTAGTTCGTTTATTTAATACCCAGGAGCAGAGAAGAAGATTTTTGAAGAATTCATGTATTTTCACTATATTAATAGAGCCTCGCCCTAACACCAAAAGCCCCTAACCTTGGGCAATAAAATTTACAATTTTGAAAGAAACACTCCTGCTCATCATAACTATGAACTTAGTTAGTTTATTTAATACCCAGGAGCAGAGAAGATTTTTGAAAAATTCATGTATTTTCACTATATAATTAATAGATCCCCGCCCTAACACAAAAAGCCCCGACCCTGGGGTAATAAAATTCACAATTTTGAAAGAAACACTCCTGCTCATCTTAACTATTTACAATGTACCTAGTTAGTTTATCTAATACCCAGGAGCAGAGAAGATTTTTCAAAGAAATAGTACATTTTCACTATATATATATATAACCTATATAGCCCCGCCCTAGCACTATAGAACCCCTGAACCTGGGTCATGAATTTCACAATTTCTGTAGAGGATTCAATGCTTAGTACATTCATACCGACAGTTTGAAGACATGAAGATAGTTGTAAATTTCATTTCCTCTGGGGTGGGTGGGGTGGGGATGGGGGTCACAGGTGGCATCGTTTTAATACTGCATATATGAGTTTCAATAATATAACTCATGAATTAAGAGGCAAAATCAAATGGAACTAGTTTTTGGTTTCGACGTTAAATAGGCAAACTAGAAAATACACTAGTACACAAGAAAAAAATACAATATATTATTTCACCTTTAAAGTTTACCCTGCGTTTCTTTTTCCTTTCAGTAAGATAAAATAAATGATCTGACATTCATGTTAATTAAGAGGGTTAGCTGCGTGATGTATACTTTCTCCAGAAAGCATTAAAATATACAATTATTATTGCATGCATTGTTTAAAACACGTACGTTTTATCTTATATCATCGTCGCAAACCACGGCCATAATATGTACGAATTTTAATGCCACCTTGAAAGGCTTCTGAATTAAAGATTCTTTTGATCGCGTCTCATTCACTGTTGAATTAAACACAGAATTAAGTAAACACACTTTATATATATATATATAGCACCCAATATCCCATTTAAAATTTCCATATTGATGATTAAAAATCTTGTCAGCATATATATTTTAAGTAATTCTTATCTATGCCACGTGACCATTTCGATTTAGTCATCACTACGATATATTTTTAACATTTTGGAAAATGCAGGAGACTATTTTTAGCTACACGTTATTTTTATCTTGTTTATGTTCGCAAATTGAAAATAAAATTCATCTGATACATATACATATTTTATTGAACATTTTATTAATTTGTTTTTGGCAATTCGGTCTCATCACCATTGCTACATGTATATATACTATATATCTTCCAGTTCCAGTTTATCTGAAATCAATATTGTGCGACTAATATTGGTAAATACCGTAAAAACCCGAAACTATTTTTAGACACACCGTAATGCGTCCTAGTTAGAATTGTTTATCGATAGTACCACAATCAACTAAAGAAGCAGTCAGTACAGCTGATTTTTCAATAGTAAGTATTTGTAGATGTTCAACCTATTACTTTATTAATTATCTAGAGGTATACATTTGTAAATAGACTGCTTAAATCATTTTATATGATTTAAAATCCATAATCGTTTTGTATTTTATGTTACTCTTTCTCTGTGCACTAACTGAACTTCAGTATAGAAATTTCTACAATATTAATTACCAACATAACGTTCGTAAGTAAATCTTAATTCTATATTAAAAAAAGGTGTTATTTAGGTGAAATTGAAATTTGTCACAACTTATAAGTGAAAGAACATATACATTGTACTATAGTACAACTGCACCGAATAACTACTGCACGGCATTCCTTAGAAAAATTCTTAAAAGTAATAACATAAAGCGTGAAATAATCAATACATTCATTAAATTGAAACGTAAGCAATCAGTAATTTTTGGGTTTATTGCAGTAATATTGTTTGTTTTTCAAAATTTATTTAGTATTAACTATGAATTTCCGGAAGAAAAATCCAATATGTTTTTGCGTGGGTTTTGGGTAATTCCATTTTTGAAAATCTTTTTGATAAAATCTTATTCAAACGTCCAAGTTATTGTAGTTAAGATATACGTATATTACGTACACAATTAATCACTTAAGTTCAAATTCAATATTCTTCCAAACTAATTATAATGGTACATGATCGAGGTTTTATTTACAACATTTATTTTGTACATACATGTAGAAAAAAATAAACATATTAAAGTACACGTGAAATGGCGACTATATATACAATTCAAATTATAATTTAACCACCTTTGGAGTCAGCGTTTGACAGCAATATTCTGAGGATTTGTAAAAATTTGGTCTAAAATTACAATATTTACTGGATAGATACTTTCTTTTTTATTCAGAAAAAAACGACATTCTATAAATACTAGTAGTTGATTCATCAGCATGCATATTTGTTAAGAATTGTATACATAAAGAATTAAGTTATTAATACGTACTAAAATCGAAGGCATATCAGCTAAGTATTGAGACATTTTTAAAAGGGAAGAAATAATGAAAAATAGTAAATTATAAATTTTAACTTCAAATAATGCTAGAGGAAAATTACAATATCCTTAATTTTGTAGATTTTTATGGATCGTAAAGACAACACAGGGATGAGGTCCCGTCCCCAGCAAGTCTCGGTCCCTCCCCCAGCCTTCCAAGTCCCCGAGCCCCAGTCTCTTAGCGAGGGAACGTCAGTACAAGTGTCCGAGGACGATGACTGTCGATCTAATTCCGAGTATTTCATACTGAGGCTAAATTCGAATGTCAGTCGTAATAGTGTGGCGTCTAACGGCGACGTAGAAACGGACAGTCATGTGTCTTCATTTTTTACGTCAGACTTATCAACTTGTGATGATGATTTAGAACATGACGGAGAAACTCAAACTTCACCATCGATTGTGTCATCGACCTTATCACATTTGTCATCACTTTCATCAGTTTCCACGGATTTTTTGTCATCAATATCATCGAATCCTTGTAGCCGACCTTCTTCAGAGTCGTGTTTCCTCGCATCCATGACAGAAACAGATTCTGTCAGTGACAACATGTTATTTGCCGATTCCAAGCTCTCAATGTGGACCCCGAACACCCCACCACAGATCCCCATTTCCCAACGCCGGGCCCCCATCACCCCACAACGAACCCCTAGTCTTGTTGCTTCAAAACTTTCAGAACTTAGAGAAGATTTTCATGTGTCTCCGGGATTTAATGTTTCTCCTGGATTCAATGTGTCGTCAGGATTTAAAGTGTCTTCGGGTGCTAACATCCCCTCTAGTTCTTTAGGAACACAGAGTCAATATCCTGAATATGCCGACGAACAAAACCGACTAGACTCTTTCAAGCACTGGCCCGCTCATTTAACCCAAACAAGTCATCAGATGGCTTTTGCTGGATTTTTCTATACTTGTAAGTCGGTTTTGGAAAATTGAATTCCTGCTCTTGACTTACGAGGGTTTCTTTTTTTCCAGATAACCATTATTTGAAATTTAAGTGTCATTGGTTAAACTTTGGTTTTAAAAGTTAAATTTTGGTCAATGGACCTAATTCCTGAATTGTATGTGTATTTAATTTTAAATAGATTGGCCTTTATTTGATTTTTCTTCCATTTCAGCATTCAGTGATTGGGTTCGCTGCTTTTGCTGTGGAATCGGTGTTCGCAACTGGGCGGAGGAAGATGACCCCTGGGTCGAGCATGCGCGATGGTCTCCAAGATGTGCTTACGTACGTCTAATGAGGAATCCCCAGTTCCTGGATGACGTAGAACGTGCTGTGCAGGAGAGAGAAGAGCAGCAGGAGGTGGGTATCGTATAATTTTAGGTTCAATTCATATTTTTGTTTAATTTAAATTTACATATCTTGCAGCAAATAAGACAGTATTGATGTTGAACAAACAGGGTTATAAGATAAGCAATATTCTTAATATCTTTATATTTTTCTTTTTTACTACAGATAAGAAATCAAGCGAATGTACCACTTGCAATACCCTCCCGAGTTGCAGAAGATATTTCAGGTAAGGCCTTCTGTCTATGATAAAGCATACAGTGTCAATAATTACTAGTATCCAAATAGCTTATGAAAGCTTATATGAATGAAAAATATTGATTTTGAGAAAAATTAATTATATATTTGAAAACCGATTCTTATACATTTTCAGATGTCAAAGCTAGTACTAGTAATCCAAAGACTGCCGAGGAATACCCCGAGAAAACACTGGAGAAAAATCCACTCTTAACAGATGCTGCCCAAACCGTGTTAGACATGGGGTTCCTACCCAAACAAGTCAAACGAGCAATAGATGTTGTCCTTCAAACGAAAAGTAAGATTTCTTTTTTTTTAATTTTCAGATTGAAGTTCTTTGACCACAAATATCGAAAAGGGAAAAATATTTCAGTTTTAAGGGGTGTGAGCTAACTTTTTGCGCCAGAATAAAGGAGAATTTGTAGAAAGGGTATCCTAAAGCTATTTTCAGTAATTTTTGCATGTGGTATTACACTGTAAAATCTTATCGATATCCGGATGCCCACATATGCTGTTGGAATTCTCTTCTTCCCTAAAAAAATGGAATAATTAAAATTGTTGCAAAATCTTTGTTCAATATGTGAAATTCACTAAATTATAATTGCTTCATTCGACGATCCTCTTTCAGCATGGCAGAAAATGACGGCAGAAGATATTATTGACGTTCTGACCGAGATTGAACAAGACAGCGCAGACTCATCCTATAGTCAGGAACCGGAAACAGGAAACGGAAATCTTACCGGAGGTATCTTTTGTTTTCAACGAATTTTTCTTTGGAACTACCAAACTTTATAAGATATATAGATTCAATAATTGAAAATCAAAATAAAAATTTAAGGCAATCGCATAATTTTGTTGTCTGCATAATTACTTAAATCATATACGATGTTTTTTTCAGATATGGAAAAGCTTAAAGAGAGAAACGAAGACTTAAAAGAACGAACACTATGCAAAATGTGTTGTATTGAGAAGGTCTCCATTGTTTTTCTTCCCTGTGGTCACTTGGTCAGTTGTGGTCAATGTTCCCCCGCGCTCAGGAAGTGTCCTATGTGTAGAAAGGAGATCAAGGGCACGGTGCGGGTCAAGTTTGACTGAAAGTATTATCATGAAATGTTCCAGACAATAACTGTGATACTTATATTTGGGGGATATATTGCCTGTGCAGCAAGAAAGTATACAAATAAAAATTGCTATTGATCGACCTGTTTAATTTTTTGAGAGCTGATAGCTTTGAAGTGAAATTCATTTTGCTTTTGTTTGATTAAGGGCTTTCTGGCTTGGGAGTTTGACTGTGAACATATGACATGCCTGTATGATGTACAAATTTGGTATACAAAAAATAAATATGATTTAATTATAATTGTGTATGTTGATCTCAATATTATTCTCAATATGGTTGTGTAAGTCTACTAATTAAAATATTATATTAACTTGTACATTATAAACATTGTGTTCTTACTTACTTTATTAATTAGATTGTTATTTTTGAGATATATTAAATAATTAAAACAAAGTACGATCTCCTCATGATCCTTTGGTGGCATTGGAAAAGGGAGTAAGTAAATAAAGCAATTTACATAATAATGTTATCTTCAATACCCATGTCAAAAATCAGATAACGATAAACATCGCCGTCTTTATCCAATCAGTTAGATACATGCATGTGTATTAGAAAAGAGGATTGAAGGGTATTTTGTCCTTACCAGCTTTTGACTTAATCAGTCAAATGTAAACAATTCCTTAGAAATTTAACCTGATTTAAAAAAAAAAAAAAAACTAAAAAGGGATTAGAAAAAAAAATAATTTCGAAAATGAAATGGTTGGAAAGGCTTGTAAACTGCAACGTTTAAGGAATATGACCTAAAAAATGAAAAGCACCAAAATCGTGGAAATAAAAAATAATACAATTTTAATTAGAATTTTTGCCGTAAGTATGTTGCAGAAATTGTATATTTGTAACAGGGGGTAAAGCTATGTGGGGTGGCATGACGGATGATGTCACCCCTTCCCCTTCTGTTGATGATTTTTATCCGAATTCCTCGTAAAAATAAAAGAAGTTATATGCTCATTTTATAAACTCTTCTAATGATATCCGATTTGTTTTCAAAAACAGTGCATGATCGAAATGTTTGGACAAAAATGTTTTCACGGAGCCAGAAAAGGGTTTCTTTTTCAACATGTTTAAGTTTGGTCCGAAAAATATGACGTTTTTCTGGCCAGGAAAACGTCCTGGCATGTAAAATACCAAAATCGTAAAAATGACAGGAAAACGTCAGATTTTTCGGATTACATGTTGTTCAAGTTGGGAAATGTTTTTGGATCCGTCCATGGCTAATGTGTTATTAATTTGCTTTAATTAGAATAAAAACAAGAGGCCCATGGGCCACATCGCTCTCCTGAGAAGCTTTTACCATTCTGTTCTTTACCAGATTTCCCCCTTTTAATACATATTGCGACCTCACCCTACCCTACGGATCATAATTTAGACATTTAGAAATCTACACTACCCCAGGATGCTTCCATGTGCTCATAAGTTTCAGCTTTTCTGGCCCAGTGGTTCTTGAGAAGATTTTCAAAGATTTCTCCTATGTATTTCAATGTAAAACTTTGATTCCCCATTGTGGCCCCACCCTACCCCCGGGGGTCATGATTTGAACAATTTAGAATCTACACTGCCCAAGGATGCTTTCACATAAGTTTCAGCTTTTCTGGCTCAGTGGTTCTTGGGGACGAAAAGATTTTCAAAGACTTTTCCTATACATATCTATGTAAAACTTTGATTCCCCATTGTGGCCCCTCCCTACCCCCGGGGGTCATGATTTGAACAATTTAAAATCAACACTACCCAAGGATGCTTCCACATAAGTTTCAGCTTTTCTGACTCAGTGCTTCTTGAGGACGAAAAGATTTTCAAGGACTTTTCCTATACATTTCTATGTAAAACTTTGATTCCCCATTGTGGCCCCGCCCTACCCCCGGGGGTCATGATTTGAACATTTTGAAATCAACACTACCCAAGGATGCTTCCACATAAGTTTCAGCTTTTCTGACTCAGTGCTTCTTGAGGACGAAAAGATTTTCAAGGACTTTTCCTATACATTTCTATGTAAAACTTTGATTCCCCATTGTGGCCCCGCCCTACCCCCGGGGGTCATGATTTGAACATTTTAAAATCAACACTACCCAAGGATGCTTCCACATAAGTTTCAGCTTTTCTGACTCAGTGCTTCTTGAGAAGAAGATTTTCAAAGATTTTTCCTATATATTTCTATATTAAACTTTGATTCCCCATTGTGGCACTGCCCTACCCCCGGGGGTCATGATATTAACAATTTAGAATCTACACTACCCAAGGATGCTTCCATATAAGTTTCAGCTTTTCTGGCCCAGTACGTGGTTCTTGAGAAGAAGATTTTCAAAGATTTTTTCTATATATTTCTATGTAAAACTTTGATTCCCCATTGTGGCCCCGCCCTATCCCCGGGGGTCATGATTTGAACAATTTAGAATCTACACTACCCCAGGATGCTTCCACATAAGTTTCAGCTCTTCTAGCCTGGTGGTTCTTGAGAAGAAGATTTTTTAATAACCCCACCCTATTTTTTGTCTTTTCTTGATTATCTCCCCTTGTGAGGGGACTTGGTCAGGACTTCATTTTAACAATTTAAATTCCCCTTCACTCAAGGATGCTTTGTACCAAGTTTGGTCAAAATTGACCCAGTGGTTCTTGAGAAGAAGTCAAAAATGTGAAAAGTTTAGAGACGGACAGACAGACGGACGACGGACAAAATGTGATCAGAAAAGCTCACTTGAGCCTTCGGCTCAGGTGAGAAAAAAAATACTGCAGCAAATGCTTTTTGTTGATTTACTGAATTTTGAAGAAGTGTAACATGTAGGCGTTTTGTTTGCTATAGTTTGGATTTTGGCTATTGAAATCGGCGCGTCGGCGCGCCAGCTGGATTTTTTTAAAATTCAAAAACCGCTATCTACATTATCTATACTTTTGAAATTAAACTACGTACGTAACCACCACCCCCCCCCCCCCCCCCCCCCCCAACACACACAGTGACACATACACAAAATATATCTACCTGCATGTATTTCATGTTTGGACAGTTTAAGCTTTCTTTTCCTGTTTAATATCTAATCAAGAAATAAAAGAGTGCCAATTAACTTTTTTGCCTGTGTTTACACAGCTCTGACCTAGTTAAAAAAAATATTACTCCATCGACAGAAATAGCCCTAACGTAATGTTTTGTGTTAGAACACATGTTTACATCAGTCAACACTGCTTACTGCGTAATTCACAGTAGCGCAGTCATCATGGACGAATGTGCTGATATACGCCGGATTTTGACAGAAATTTGGGAGAGGATGGATGAAGAAGATTTTAGAAGACTGTCTTTTCTCACCAAAGACGTCATTTGCAACAGAAAAAGGAAGGAACTGAAGAACAGTCTGGGATTATTTATAGCACTAGAGGAGGGAATGGTGATCCACATCAAAAGCGGTGATCTCTCGTTCTTAGAGGAAGCATTCAGTCTGATGCAGAGAAACGATATTGTCAGAATATTAAACGAGCAAAAAAGAGATCGAAATCATCTCAGTATGGCTACAGCTGATACTTCAAATAGAAATCTATTATTAGAGAAAAGGTGATTCATGGGAAAATCCAATCTATTTTGAACTTTTAAAAACGAAAGTACACTACACAAGTTTAGCTTAATAATCATGTTAATAGATCACGACTATATTTGTCTTGTTATTCTGGTTAAAAGGGTACACATATGTAATAACTTGGTATGCACAGTAAGTATACAGTATAAAAGCTTGGCGTGGTGTAAAAGGCCGAGGATGGAGTCTCTAAATTTGACCACAGGGGCTTGTGAAGAGAAAATAAATCAGTTCAAAAAAACATTAGTACCTCGGAGTGTTTTTTTTTTCTCTCCGAGGTGCTATTTTTTTTTTAATAACTGATTTATTTTCTCTACACAAGCCCCTTTGATTGTACATATAAGAGTGTCACGAAATGCAAGGGGTGAAGCCTATGTAAATTTTAATAAGCTTATTTTAGCCTTCATTCAGTGAAGAACACAAAAACTTTTGTAAATCTGTCAAGACTAAATAGCAGGGCAGAAATCTTGCCAATTTAATAATTTAAATCAAAAGCACTGGTTTTTTCAAAGCCCCCACATAAAAGTCATTTTTGGACTGAATCTAATTTTGTTGTTTCTCTCTTTTTTGAGAAGAGGGAAAATGAAACATTTATATTCACTAAGGGATAATACACTGTAATATATGTATTGATATTGGTTCGAGATGTAGCTGTGTCATTCAGCATTGTTCAGCCTCTGCTATGTAAAGAATTAAATAATTTAAAATAATAAACTCACTGGTTAAGCTGTTCCCCTGATGTTGACAAATGAAGGTCATATATTGTTTCACTGTCTCCTAGCTGTTTCTCATTTCATACCCCGAAAGATATTGTCAAATGGTCTACACAACATTGACTTTTGGCAGTAAAAAATGATGAATCATTCAGAAAACATCAAAAGGATTTTCTTGAAATTGTTTGGATAACATATGACATTCTAACAATTTCTCATGAAGAAAAGACTGCTTTGGCAGATTTGATAAGCAAGAGCTAAAATTTAAATAAAAAGAATATTCTCCATTCCTTGGACTTTGTGAGTAACTCTAGTTTGGAGAGACAATCCTTAGCATTTTACACCAAGCCTAAGAGATATAATTGTATTGTAGTAAAACAACACTCTTCATTTAATTATTTTAGAAAGCTGCTTTTCAAAGTTGGCGAAGAAACAGGTAAAGCTGAATTAAAAAATTTAAAGGACCAATTATCAAGGTGTGGAGTTGGGAAGAGAACATTAGATCAGGTGAAAGATGTTTGGGATGCTCTGGATTTGCTGGAGGAAAGAGTTTCAGAGAGAGAACTTCTTCGCTGCTTGAGAACTGTTTATGAAGAGGAAGGTGTACAAACAATGTTGGATGGCGTCATTAACAAAGGTATAGAAACATTTTCTTGGTGTGTAGATGAAAGCTGTATGAATTAGCATTCAATTTCATTGAAAGATGAAGATCTTAGGCATTATTTTTATAACCAGTATGCTTTCCCCTGTTAACAATTTGCATAAAATTAAATTAAGAAATAGTCACTGTTAATTTAGCTAATTTAATTAAAAGCCAGATATTGTTAAATACAGTGTGCATAACATCAATTAATTCTAGTCTCAACAATGTAATATACATACATGTACAGCGTGCATGTATTTCCTGTTACTGTAACAGATAATGCCAATGAAGCTGGGTGTACCCCAGATAAAGTCCCTGTACAAGAGATTGGTGAGGAGAACTGCACCGCTAATAAGAATGATCCACAAAGTGAAGAGGAAGGCAGTGAAAATCCTCAAACAACATTGACCCTGGACCCTAGTGGATTCTCCACCTTAGGAGGTTCAAGACTAGGAGCTTACAGCAGGGAAAGGCACCCAGGTTATAAATAGTCTGATAATAGTTAAATAATACATGTAGCTGTACACACAATTACTACAAGTGTAGTATGGTCAGCTGCATATTTGTTTTCATCACGCCTATGGTGGAAAGCAACTTCTGCTAATTTAAGTACAATAACAAGATAATCATTCTTTAAGATTTACCGCTAAATAAGAATTGTGTGTTTTTAGGGATCTGTGTCATTATCAATAACAAGGAGTTTGCAGATGACAACATGCAGACCCGTACAGGAACAGAGGTAGACAGGGGTAAGGGCATTTAAAGTAAAAACATCCATAATATTTCCTCACAGTAATCAGGTCCTATTATAGATATGTCTGATATATTAAACATGATCTTTGAAATTTCTTTAATTATGGATATGCCTGATATCATTTTTCATTAAACTGTGATAATGTACATGTACATGTATACCAATTTCGTTATGATTTCAGACAACCTAGAATGGCTTTTCACAACGTATGGCTTTAATGTCCTGGTACATAATAACCAGAGCTGTGAAAGAATGTTGCAAATACTGCAGGAAGTATGTAGTAGGAACCATGAGGATTATGGCGCCTTAGTTGTCTGTGTTTTGAGTCATGGGAAGCCAGATGCCGTGATTGGAAGTTGTGGTGGAGCCATCAACATTACGACCTTGACCTCACTGTTTCGTTCTGATATGTGCCCATCTCTTGCTGGAAAACCAAAATTTTTCATTCTACAAGCGTGTCAAGGATATCAAATTCAAAACGGTAATTAGACATGTGTACATTTTATAAATACTTAAAGGACAGAAAGTAATTACATGTACCAGACACATTTTGCCTTTATGCTTAAATAAAATTGAACATTGCATTGTATCTTTAATTGGTATTTTTCAATTCCCTGCATATTTCAATGGAAATTGATATGGAAGTCCCATCATTCTTTGTATTTTTTTCATCTCAGTATCTTAAATCTTTTAAAATAATTATGCGTATTCTTGAAATTTTTTTTTCATAGGAGACAACAAGTTTTGACTGTATAAGTTCTTTGTTTTTCCTTTTACAGTTTGGCATAGAACACCTATAGCTACCCCAGTTGAGTCAGACATTACCAGGATACCTCCAAATGGAACAGAAGAATCTGAGGTTTCGGATCCTAGTCCAACTCTACGCTTGCCTTCACCATCGCTGCTGAGAAACCTGAATCCCTATCTTTCCTACTTCTTACCCAATCAAAGGCGACATCCTTCCCTGAACTTGACTACTGGAAGCCCTCTGAGAAACCTGGGGCTCCTGCCTGCGTCTGATGGATTCACTCAGCTGGATCTTGCATCGGCGGAGGCAGATTTTCTGATAGCCCACTCTACCATGCCGGGGTACATGTCTATGAGAGATGAGAGGGAGGGGTCCTTTTTCATCCAGTCTTTAGTCAAACATCTAAAGGAGCACTCACCAAGGTTAGTATTTATGACAAAATTGATTGGTATCTCGATAGTTATCAGCATTTTGTTGATTTTATTTACCAGGGGTATTTCTGACGTAACTTAATGTGTTGTTCGAAATATTATATCACTCTCTATATGTTTTAAAAGGCAGTTTAAAGGGTTTTTTTCATAAAGGGAGGGGGGTCCATTCACTTGAAAAATAAAATGGAGGATTCAGAAGACTAGCAGTTTTTTAGAAACATTTTCTATACTTCAAAGATTACATTGGTCATATCCCTCAAAAATCCCCCAGTTCAGGGCTCGACATTAACACTTGTCCGCTTGTCCGGTACCAATGAAAAAAAATTACGGACAAGTGAATATTGCTGGGCACTTGTCCGATTGGACAAGTGATTACCGGCCGCCAGGAGGCGGTCGGTTATATGATATGAAAGTTTGAAGTCGCTGTGCGTTTCTGCGGAGTTAAAACAATTTAAATAAATAAATATTTAACATTAATATAATCGTATATTAAAATGAGCGTCTAAATCTTTAACATGAACGCACAATAAAAATAAAATTATTTTTTTTATAAAGAATGAGGTAAATATTTCATCCAATCCTGATTGAGAAACTTTGACATGTTTGAGGTGCGGAGAAAATTAGGACATGTGTTGGGCATAGTCTAAAGCAAAGACCGCGATATGAATGTTGCACAATTTTACTTTCTCAATTTAAACAGGATTTGTTGTAAGTATTTATTTTAAAATGACGTGTACACATATACAATATAAACATGTTCAAAAATATGGTTAAATGTTAATTCATCAAAAGACCTAGCAGGCTGTAGAATATTACAAGATTTGGTCCCTAGCATATGAGGATAATGCACGTTTTATAATGTGCCAAGAATTTTCCCGCTGCAACTCAAAGAAATTGAAAGAGAAAAAATGTAGTGGCGGATCTTGAGGGAGTTCAGTTTTTTCCTCTAAAAGAGAGCAAGAAGCCCCACATATTTGTTGCGTTTTATTAAATTAAAAAACACTGCATATCTAGTTGTAGATTACATTAAACTTTAGTTTTAAACTTTTAATGTACGTAAATGCCTCCTAATTATACAGGCCAACGGTTTGTTGACGCAGAGGTCCAGGGGTACTTTGCTTATACATGTAATACTGAACATGCATTATAATTAAGAAAATCATGCAATGTCGAGCACAAGCGTTTAATGTCACGAGGATATATATTAACAGATAAATATAAGATATTTTTAAAACAGATCACCAATTCAGTCTTAAGTTGCTTCATAGGAAAAATTAATTGGTTTGCGGCCGATTTTTGACGCTTGCGTCAATATATGTTTCTTGTTTTTAATGTAACGAATTCTTCAAATAATAATAATATTAAAAAAAAAACAACGATTGAATTAAGTTTATCGAATAAAAAAGGAAACATTACATATAAGCCGAATTTCGATCCCGATATCAATCACTATTTAAGCTCACACTTGATCGGGATCGATGTTCACTAATTGCAGCAATACTATTGCATGGCGTGGTTCTTACGACATTTGCGGGTTTGGAATATATTTGATTGATATTACAGATTCACTTGCAAACATTTATATTGTTGTCAGGACAGGAATTCTAGATAAAATTTTGTTTTATAAGTTGTTTGTCTTATTTATCCATAACAACACTAATTAATTAAGCATGTTTAATTTTTTAATTTTAGTAATATTGATTTCAAAATATCAATTGAAAATTTTTTGGACAAGTGAAGTTGAAGTTTGGACAAGGAAATATCTTGGTCACTTGTCCGAATGGACAAGTAGGAAAAAAAGTTAATGTCGAGCCCTGCAGTTGATCTGCCTTGCATACTTTAATCTAATGAAAAAATATTATATGTAACTTAGAGTTTCATTCAGCTTTAAAATCCAGTTTTAACAAATTACTTTCAGGGAGGATGTTGTGTCAATCCTCACAGAGGTCAACAAAGAGGTCAGTCAGAAAATTGGAAAAACCAAGGAAGGTCAAATCGCGGTCCAGATGCCGGAACCTAAACTCCGCTTGACCAAGAAATTTTATCTGTATCCTGTAGAAACAGAAGTCTGAGATGGGGGAGAGATCACGTGGTGTATCTGTAAAACCTGTGGGGAGGGCGGCCATTTTTGCGTTGTAACCCGCCGCTGGTCAGAGCATGGTCAGCGATCGTCCCAAGCCGATATCGTGGTTTTTGGCACATATCTACCACAGCAAATATTATATAATTAGTTATTGTATCATTTGATTGTAAAAAAGCTGTTGAAATATTGGTAATTTTTTCTCAATTTTTAAGTTTGATATATAGGAAAAAATGTGGAAAATAATAGGTTCATTTTCATGTATTTGTACAGTCCTTTTATGTTATTATATACTAGTACAGTGTATAGTTCTACATGTACATGTAAATATTGTATCATTACATATTAAATAAATCATACAGTCTGAGAGCATTATGTAAACTTTTTATAATAATAAACATATTTATTCACACAGCAGTGTTGTTCTTTAAATTTCTCCTAATTCTCAAGAAAGGAAAATATTTCAAAAGTGCTTTTTCATACATGGAGTACTGTAGCAAGCGCGGTTCCAGGATTTTTTCGGGGGGGGGGGGGGGGGTGTGTTCAACCCCATTCAAAAAGAAAGATCCAAACCAAATATTTCTTGAAAAAATGAAAACAAAAAACAAACAAAACAAATATTAAGAAAAATAAACCCACCAAACGTTAACTCCTATCTGAAAACTTATTTCGTGTCGAGAGAAGGGGGGAGGGGGGTCGTCGTTGAATAAAATTATAATGCCATCGCAGATTCCAGTTTTTAAACGGGCCCAAGGTCACTTTTAAATGGTGAAGTATATACGATTAGTAACTCTGCAAATTCCAGGGGGGTGGGGGGAGGATATCGCAGAATTTGTTATTCAATATTGCTGAATTGAACAATTGGGTTTCATTTTCTTCACAAAATTAAGGTGCATCTTACACGGCTGTCATAAAAAGGGGAGGGGTTGGGTGCCAGTGCACCAGGTAATTTATCTTAAAAAATTCGTTAAAATCTTAAGATAATTCAATATTTGCCTTAAAATTGAGTTTAATGCTACTCAATTTTGTTTTAAAAACAAACCCTTTATAAAGATATTTTGAGTGACACGTGTTTAAGTAGCAAATCTGGTTTAATTTTCTATATTGATTTTATAAGAAAAAAACAATTTTTCATTTTCTGTGTTTTAAGATATTTTAAACATGCACAAAGCAGTATGTCGTCAAAGTCCAACTGATACATAATAATTTAATTCAAAATTTTAAGACTATCACTGTTTTGGGATTTTCTGACATTGTTAGATGAACTTCGAATCCATACATTTTTGGATTTTTTTTTCCACTAAGAAGTTTTTAAGTGAATTAAATTGTTATTTTTACATGCACGGTCTGCACTTTGCTTTTCGCTGAGATATTCGCTGAAAAGTGAATAAAATAAAATCAGTTTTTATCGACGCTGTTCAAGTTTTAATACATATATACGATGTATTCATTTTGGAAAAATTTAGTGAGTGATGATAAAAAAAATTAAATGATAATTCTTCCTTGATTATTATTAAGTCATTACATAAACATGAGAAAATCGCTTTTCTATGTAACTATTGTCAAGATTAGAATAGACCTTGATTGAACTTTAGGTCTATATATTGGTAATGTATAACTGACAACACTACGATAAAAACCGCGAATATTTTCAAGAACGAATTGACTCGACTCCGAATCGCCATTTTTGACAGTTTGAGGTAAACAAATGAAAAATCTAAAAAAGGTAAGAAACTTTCACCGACTTTATTAAAATCTTAGTATATTTTGATGCAACTTATGCCATTTAAATTGTATATATCATGCATATATTTACTAAGACATGGGGTACCAAGCATCATTAGCATGTTGATAAACCAAACCCTCGCAGTGTTTTACTGATTGATGCCATTGTTTTTTTTTTTTTATACTATCGATCTTTGTAACTTAGATGTTTTTGAATAACTTTAATGATTGAAATGTACGATTAAGCTACATTGTAAACTTTAAAAGGCTATATTATAATCACAAAATTTATATTTGCGTCATCACAGAACTGTCCAAAACCAAGGGGACGTAAATCTTAATAGCGAAAATCATTAATAATGTTTTCATTCATGTATATAATAAAACTGATAATGAAAAAATACCATGAAACATGATTTTTGTTTTTAATTGTGGAATTATGTCATAAATTCTGAGAATGAATAAACTTTTGTACAATTATTTTCTTTTCACATGTTTCAGGTGAAGATTTCATCCACAAATAAAACAACAAATGAACATGAAATGATCTGAACCAGAATGGATGTAAAAAGGGCTTGTTCTTCATCTGATGCCATTTCTCCTAAAAATCCCTCAGAGGAAACAATAGATGATGGAAAGCACATTGTCAATAGATATCAAGAATTGTTTGACAGCGAATCATTTAGTGACATTGTTTTGGTTGTAGGCTTAAACCGTTTCTCACTTCACAAGTTTGTGTTAATATCAGCTAGTGAGGTCTTCCAGTAAGTATGAAATTTACTATGAATTTTTTTAAGTACAACAAAATCTGTTGCTTTAGATTAGGTGATTCATAATTTAAAGCTATTAAAATACATAATAAGAATTTAAAGAAAATGTTGAAAAGGAATCTCAAGCTTATAAATACTGAAAACATATTACATTGTTATGTATTCATTTTAGTACTTTGGGTGGAAAGAAAATTGTGCTTTTTCTAGTACAACGCTAAATGTCTTCCAGTTATGTGCATAAATAAGAATATCAAGAAATGCACTAAGGCCTAGAAAAAAAATATGTTTGTCTCCGCTTTCCCGACCGACCCTAATTTATAGTGCCGACCCTAAATATTTTTTTAATGCTTTTGTCCCATGATGAACAAGATTTCAACCTGGGAATTATAGCCTCCAATTTTGCAAGTTTTTCAAGACAGAAAGAAGTTTGGGTCACCTTTCTATTAGGCCTACACGTTTTGATTAAAGAAGCAAAAAAAATTTTTTCAAAAAAAAAAGAATTGCTACCTACCTACCCTATATTTTTTCAGCCTGAAAGCGGAAACAACATATTTTTTTTCTAGACCTAAACCAAATTTATGCTAACTTGTTCAAAAAACAATTTCCACAAAAATCGTACACGCTTAATATAGCACATTTACATTATACAGCTCTAACAACTGTTACATATGTTTTTTTTATTCTGTATATAGAGCCATGTTGAATGAGGACAGATGGCATGAGGCAAACCAGCCAGAAGTCACCCTTACTGAGGATGAGGAGTGTTTACCTGTCTTTAAAGACTTCCTCAGGTACATCTCCAAAAATTTGGTACTATTTACAAACATTAATGCTGATTTAACTGCCTTAAACAGGGTTTGTAAACCAGCAATGCTAATGGGCCCATGTCAAATGTATTATTGATATACATTTACTGTTATACATAATTATATTAATTGAAAGCCAATATATTTGAACAGTTTCAGTTGCATATAATTTCAGTCTTAAAAAAACATTAACTTCTTTGTACACACATTTATTTATATTTGCAATATTTTTTAACTTAGGTATTTGTATTGTGGAAGCATTACTCTGACCACTGCCACTGTATATATATGAAATGTTTCATAAGAGGAATAAAAATAAGTTTTTCTAATATTTTAAAAAAAAGGAAATTCAGAATATTTAAAATTGCTGATTTATATCTTTAAAAATTCAATTTTGGTGTATTTACTGTGTTAAAATTGTAGAGAATGCTACAACACATATTTGTACAAAGGAACTCTTCACACTTGGGTAATAACAACAGAAAGAGAAAATTATCTATTTCAAGAATGATTCCAGCTATTAAAAATAAATAGAAAAACTAAAGAAAAAAATTATAGAAAAGCATTCTGGAGTAATAACCATTATAAAAGCATTCTCATTTTTCATCATAGTGTTAAATTTATTGATTTTTGTCAGAGTGTTTTAATAACGTTGATCATCACCTCTCAAAACAACTTCCAGATAACTGTGTTTGAGAGGGAAATACTTTATAAATTGTTTGTGATTTATTAGAGAAAAGGAGCATTAATCCTGATTTTGGCTGTATGCTGAAGACAAGAAGCTGCGTCGTTATGTAAGTCAGGAGTTCCTTGAAAAAAAAAATCAAAGAAGAGTAATAAACAACGATATAGAACATGGCATTATGAATAGCAATAGTGCTGGCATACCATTTGTGGAAGAAACTGGCCGAGTGGTTCACTCATCTTAAATAGAAGATTTGGTCACCTGAGTCACTCAGGTGACCTGTTATCTGTTTCGTCCGTCGTCGTCCGTCGTACGTCGTTCGTCGTAGGTTTAAACTGAACATTTTGACTTCTTCTCTGCAACCACAACCAATTTCAACCAAATTTGACATTGTGAAGCAAAAATTGTGAATTTCAGATGGGGCCTGTATAAGGAAAATGCATCTTTAAAAAGCTTCTTTACACCTGGACATCAAGCAGTCAAATTTTTACAAGCATACTTTACCAAAATTGTGAAATTCATGGCCCTCACTTCTCAGTGAAGATGTGAAAATGCATTATTTCTTTAAAAATCTTCTTCTCTGCTCCTGGGTATTAAATAAACACTAAGTACATAGTTATGATGGAGAGTGCCACAAAACATTTTAAACCAGGGTGCAGGGTTCTGCCGATTATGTAGTGAAAATACATTATTTCTTTGAAAATCCATTTCTCTGCTTCTGGGTATTTAAACCTTAGTAAAAGTTATGAGGTCAAGTGCCAAAATTGAATTTTACAGCAAAATAATATAGTGAAAAAACATTAAATCTTTGAATATTTTGTTCTTTGTTCCTAGGTTTTAAGCAAATGAACTACTATATAGTTATCAATCCATCTTCAAGAACAAAACTGGCCAAGTAAAAGCCACCTATATACTGAAAATGAATGAATTGTTTGAAATGTGCTCCAAAGGTATTAATCAAATTTTTTTGAAAAGCAAGGATGCCTTTCCAAAAATTGTGCAATGTGTGGATCAAAGCCTAAGAGTCAAGGATTCCTGTGTGGTAGCGGCACTACTGATTATTGCTGAATATTACTGATTTGTTGAAATGCATTTTTTGTTTCCCTACCCTGCCTATGGGTATTAAGCAAACTAAGGAACTGCTAAGTGTATAGTTATGATTACCAAATTGTAAATGCTATAGCATCTGGCTTAAAACAAATTCAATCACTAGAAAGTTGTTGAATAATGCTCAGGTGACCTATAAGGCCCATGGGCCTCTTGTTTAACTTAGGTATTTGTATTGTGGAAGCATTACTCTGACCACTGCCACTGTACTACCAGTTCTAATTTTGGCCGACAAATACCAGGTACTCTGTATTCCTGTGCAC